CCATCTCTACGCACGGAAATATGAGATCAATACAAAAGGTCCCTATATGAATATAAGAAAATGCTGAGAAAAACCAAGACAGGCTCATTGAGGAGGCAATACGAGAAGGTTGAACAGATCCAAGTGTATCTCAAAGATTATTTCGAAATAACCTCAGATTCTAATGAATAACTTGAGAACAAATACTGGGAAGTACACACGATAGGGGAGCTTAGAAATTTAACACTGCAGTTCTGGAGAAATTCAAGGAGAATTGGCTGGTGAAAAAGAACATGGTAGATTTGGAAAACATCTAATGGATTGTAAACTCTGAGATACATACCTAATACCCAATACATGGAGACTGATTAGGGTCACCTCAATACCAAAACCTGGGAAAATTTTACAGGATTCGGCGAAAGCCTTGAGACTAATCAGTCTCATGTCACTTGCATAAAACATTGGAATAAACCACCTGACAGATACATGAGGGACATAGTACTGGCTAACATACTGGCATACATACCTCTGCATCGAGACGAATATGCAAATAGGTCAGGTATGTCAACAGAAACAGATTTATACTTATAAGAACAAAGAAGTACTTCCACTCACTCTCTTGGATATCTAGGGCGCGTGAGGGGGAAAACGCAATGAGCCCTTTAGGCTGCAGTATATTCCAGAGACTTGGAATGAATGTACAATGCCAAACTCCTGACTTTTAGCACTCCACGTGTTTAAATATTGGATAATGCAACTGGTCATACATGAGGGTAAAGTGATTGATAATCTCAACAAAGAATAAAAAAATTCAAGTCGTCGTCAACAAAATGAGAATCCTGAAGAATTTATAAAAGAACAACAAGAACAGCTTTAAGGTATTTCATAAAAGGTTCACTACTCATGAAATGATAGTTTTCAGTACTATTTTTTATTTTTGGTAGGATTACTCCAGCAAATGCTAAATATTATGCTAATGCCATCGTCTTCGAACTGGACAACAAGTCCCATGTTAGAAAAATGTAAAATGAAGAATTGGAAAGAGTACCTTTTGTTTATAAAAATGTACAAGACAGGTATAGTCTATACAAAGTCAATCCGAAATTCACTACTTTAATACCATTTAAAACCTCCCACATAAAAATAATGATTAGACCTCGTATGAACTCATCACGCCCCCCATGCCATATAAAGAAAGAAACTGCCGACGTTCGGTAACTAATTAGTTTTTATGCCATCCTAACTGACTTTGTATATACTATACAGCATCATATGAGAGGGATTATTGTGATTTGAGACAACGTGAGCATTATTCACAAGTAGGTGAAAAAGTCTGTTAGTGCAACTTTTACTCTCTGATGTTGCGTATGCATAGGCAGCCAAGTTAGCACTGTGTTATATAAGAAGTGTATACACTGATAGTTGCTGGCATAAACTTTCGATACAGAAATTCCTGTAGACCAACTGTAGTAGTTCTGCCAATTGCCTCAAGATGGTACCAGAAGTCAATATTTCTGTATTTTATATAGTAATCATCAATCAATCCTTGATAAATTATGTTGGAAATATTGAGAAATATAAATTAGGTTATCGTAGAAAACAACGTAAAATGTGTTGACGTTCGTTGATATATCACCTAGTATCGGATCAAATTTGAAAAAATTCTTTTGCTTGTAATTAATAAATTCATTCTGTTATGTTTTTTTGTTCTCTGCGTGTTGGATAATTTTTCAAGTACTGAGTACTATGATGGTTTCGGAATGGTATCGCAACATTTTCGAAACTTATAAATCCAGAACTTTTTACTGGGTATACGTTTCGAAGATCAATCTGCCACCCTGCTAATGGACGCAAATGGAGACATCACTGCTTTGAAGAGGTACGGAGGGTGGAAGTCAACATCTGTGGCGGAAGAATATATAGATAATTGCATGAATACCAGTAATGGAAATGTTAATGTAATAATAATGATAACCGGAGGCATAAGGTCACCCATCTGTTTTATATGGATGATCTTAAACTTTATGCCTCTGGGGAGAAGGATCTCCATCAGTCCTTGAGGGTGGTAGAAGAGTACACGCATGCTATCGGTATGAAATTCGGTATAGACAAATGTGCAATAGTCCATCTCAAAAGAGGACGAGGATGAGCAGCTCGTAGATGGAAGCATCCTTCACTATCTGGATGCCGGAGAGAAGCATCTTTATCTCGGGGTGAAACAACGCCACTCACAAGAGGTTCAGCAGTGAAGAACTCTCTCCGCGGCAAGTATCAGCACAAACTTCGATAGATCTGGTCATCGTTACTGTCGGGGAAGAACAAAGTTGCTGCAACAAATATGCTTGCCGTTCCAATCTTACTCTACTCGTTTGGAGTAGTGCAGTAGACTCGGGAGGAGCTGTATCAACTCGACGTAAAGACCCGAAAAATGATGCATCTCTATAAGAGTTTGCATTCCAAATTGTCCGTTACACGGTTGTAATTCCCCCGACTACAACAGGGAGGCCGTGGACTTTTGAGTTTGGAGTGTCTACATGACAGAATGGTACTGGATACAGCCTGTAAAGTCGTCAGGAGTTTGGATCCCCTTCTCTGCATGGTCCGTGACCATGAAAGAGCAGGAATTGGAGCATTTCTCCTTAGGGCAGCTGCCCGAGCAGCTGATGAACTTGGTATAGTTTTCGACTACGAATTCAAATTGAACCAAAGCGCTGCCACAACAGCCCGAAAAATTAACCAGACATTTGGTAATGAAAGCACTGTTCGATGTTAGTTTTCAAAATTTCGTTCAGCGTCGAAGATGAGCCCTGAAGTGGTCGACTACTGTTATCCATGAGGAATTGAGGTCTCTGGTGGAGACTGACCCATCATGCTGACCCCCAAACGCTGAGGGATGGTGGAAGAACTGGGCATCAACTGCTATGTAGTTTTTGATGGTTTGAAAACGTATTGGAAAGGTCGGAAAGTATGAAAAGTGGGTGAATAATCGACAGAAATTGTCACGTTTCGAAGTCTATTCTTCTTTTGTGCAACCAAAACCATCTTTTTTGGATCGGATTGTCACGTGTGATGAAAAGTGGACCCTCTACGACAACAAGAGACTATCAGGACAGCGGTTGGACTCCAGTGAGACTCCCAGGCACTTCCCAAAGGCAAAACATTCACCATAATAATATGGTTATGCTCAACAGGTTTACAACCACACATAGAGAAAATACAAATAATCACAGAGTATAAAGAAATATTCAGATTACAAAAAGAAAATGGAAAACAATCATGACATTGAATTTTTAAAAGTTCTTGAAATAAACTGTTTGCTGTCATGATGTACATCGCACAGGTCGGACACTTTATTGAACAACTCACACATTTTGAATATCAGCGACTTTTTCAATACATTTGTCCTAGGATTCCCATTGTACAAAGCAATAATATGCCTGGATTGTAATTTAGGTACAAGAAACTGAATTTGTCTCAACAAGTCACCACAATCAATTTCGTTATTCAAGAGTTTAACTGAAAACATAATCGCGGTGCTTTTCTTCTAACTGATAGGGCTTCTAAGTTGAATGTGGTTTGTGCCCCTAGCTGGATAGAATCCATTGCACTTGCGATCCCCTTGGAGAACTGGGCGAAACCTCATTGTAATCAGCCTACCTCTGGTAATGTGGAGCTCTGCCAGAGGTGACCAACTTTTTCCTTGCTACTCGTGGGAACACAAGACCTCCGCCTTGAATAAAGGCAAGAAACCGGCTGCCCTTGCAGGAAAGCTCCCTCACTTGTGTACCTCCACGGAGGGAACCCCAAGAAGGTAGAAGAAGCTGCGCAACGACAGTTATATCGCTGCACCTTCCAAAACCTTCGCGGAGGCCACCTTGATACACCTCAAGGTTGCCAAAGAGAGTGTATGTTCGGCGAGTCTTGGCCTACACCTGCCAATATAAAGAAGATGTCTCCTAGTGACCTGTTCACCTGTCTGGAAAGGACAGGATGGACGATGACCTAGAAGGACAACTCCTCGGGAGGATGTACAATGAGTCACATATGGCCCTTAGTGCGTCTACACTCACCCTTCCTACTCTACAGATACAGATGAGTGTCAAATGTAAGCCTTCGATCAAACACGACCCCTACATCTTTATGTCTAAGTCTATGTCTATGGACAAGTCATCTACGAAAAGTAAATGAGGGCAGGCATGTGATCCTTACCAAAATATTATTTATGAAAATTAAGAATAAGAGTGGCTCCAGATTAGAACGCTGGGCACCCCTGAAGTAGGAATGTAACGATTCGACTGTACCCCCGCATATGGATGCGATCTGATAGATGAGATTTGAGCAACCTTTTGAAGAAGTTGAGAATCCGATTCTTCGAAGTTTTTCCAAAAGTAGAAAGTGGTCACTCTGATCGAAGGCTTTTTTGATATCAGTATAGATGACATCAACTTGTTTTGTTGAATCGAGATCACAAGCCATGGCCATGAGTCCATGCTGATTTGTTGTTATTATCATTCTAATATTGTTATAGTTCATATGGTCAATGTATGGTGGTCAGCGGCGGTTGTGATTCACTATAACTTTCTCCAACTGGGCCAAACCATCATAACATAGTGATGATTTGGCCCTACTACCATCTTTTCAAGCACTTCGATAACTTTCTCACCGGTAGAACATTCATCAATCAGGAGCAGGCAAAAACGGCCTTCGTCGACTTCATCGAATCCCGAGCTCGTTTCCATGCTGACGGAATTAATCGACCTATGTTACGTTGGCGAATGTGCATGACCCATACAAAGGAGATATCCGGTTTAGATACAACTCATAGTTGTTTTTTGAAATTGCATTTAAGAATTACAACTTGCTCTTATTTTCCAATTCTTACTTTCTACGAAAGGCCGAATACCGGTTTGAGTAAACGGAAAGTCCAGTGACGTGGATTTTGAATGAATGCCTTCAAATAATTAGACAGCAGAACCGAATGCAGAATATATTAGTTTGGTTTGGTGTGACAGAAAGTTCGCAATATCCATTCCTTAAGCAGTTAATTCTTCTATTGATCTAATCTGTCTGGAACTTTTCCATAACTGCATTACTTCACTTCTAAGGTCAAACGTGTCGGCTTCATCAATGCAAATCGTGGTAAATGAAGTAACAAATCACGAATTGATAAAACGAAGATATTTGTTAATTTTTGTTTATAACTCAACAAGCGATAAGTCATTTACGTTGGTTTCATTGATATTTTTCTCGTCGACTGTAATTTAAACGCCAACGAAATCGTTTCGTTGAACAAGTGTTTGCAGTTTCCACAGTTACTTATCGAGGCCAATCGGAAGATGTCGGAGATTGATACTAAACAGGATGCCATCAAAAAACCAGGTGAGCAGCTGATGTTTACCTTTTTTCATTATTAAAAATTCCAGTTTTTATGTTGTTTGCATTGACAGGACAGAATAAACAGGTTTAGAATGAAATTCAGAGTTATTGAGGCTGAGAAGTCCAACCAGATAATTTGCAGAAGAAGTAACCCTATTTTGGCTTGAAAAAAAAATACTGAAAGTCCGTGAAGTCAACTATTTGGTTCTAAATTTCACAGGAGATCAGAGATTTCAAAAATCAATTATTTGCAAATGTCTCGTACATTATCAGGAAATAATTATTTCGAAATTTCAATCTCTCCCAACTACCTAAACAGTAGGGTGTGGTAAACGTCTGTCAAAACGGTTTTTGACGTTATTTTAGGCATACGTTCTCAACTTCGTTATAGATACCAAAATAATCCTACATTTTCTGAAAGTACTTTCCTAACGGAATCCGAATACCTAACTTTGATACGCCGCACTTTTATTGGACACCCTGTGTATTGGAGAATTTCTCCAATACACAGGGTGTCTCCTAACGTGTTAGGAATCACACGTTAAAAGATAAGACCTCGTTAGTCCTTAGCTCTCGGTGGAGGGTCGAATAGACCCACTCACTTTGAACCTAACCTAACCTAGTCCATATATAGCTCGCACAAGTTTCTTAACTTCTGAGAGTTGTCGTTCGTATGGGGGCGACAGCTGATTAACGGAAAAACAGATTTTAAACGGATTTTTTTCTCAGAAAAGTCCATTGTATTGATATCTGAAACTTTATATTAAATATTTTCTGATAAATTTACTGCTCAATCTCAAACTTCTAATAGAAGCTCCACTGTATATCACAAACTTGCTGAAGAAGTCTTTGTTGTTTTGATACCATTTATGTCATCCCAATAACTTGTGAATATTCAGTATTTAGACTGTGGCAATATTTACCATACATTACTTTATTTCGTGCACATAAGTAAAATTCACGTAGCTTACACGTATTTTTGTAACATTTAATGTTTTTGTTATTTAACATTTTCAGTCTTTCAATTATTGACTTAGCATTGTAGGCTGAACTGAAAAACAAGCAAAACATAGAACGTCTCTCTCAGAATTACATATTTATTTTATTGAAATCCCCTAAGCTAAACTTTTTCCTAATTCAACAGACTTTCTATCTGTTATGTTTTTCAATGGACCTCCGTATCTTGGACACTGTATAAATGTATTTCTAAATATAATTACAATTTGTTTTTAAACATTTCTTAGAATTTTTTTGGTTCCGTATCAGAGACTCATAAATTAGATGTGACCTTGCTAAACTTAAACATAAGGATATAAATGATAAAGTGTTATTGAAATTTTGACTGATGATGTAACCCTATACATGTATACACGATAATCAGAATTAACAATAAATAAATAATAGTTTAAGAAAACTAAAAAAACACGCTTTAATAGCAACACAAACTTAAAAATAATTCGAAAATCATTTAGGATTGTGCTCAACATCGACAATAAGTCCTATGGCTTGATGTAACTGTGCTATTTATTAATAGAAGACATTAAATTAATGTTTTTTTCTGATTGATTCGGCCATCACATGATGAAGATCCATATTAATTTCATGAACACAAAATTTATTTGAAAAATATAACACAGTAGCTTTATCAACAGTGATTTGAATACTATAAGTTGCATCATACACTAATATGCATATACTATAGGTAACCATAGTTGAGACTACCTCCAACAAATTACCTAAACCTCTACCTGTGGTACCTCTTCAATTATGATCACCTCACTTCTACATCAATAATGATTCTTTCTCGGTTTTTCTAATAACAGGGGAGCCCACGATGCATAATGGGGATTTACTCGAGCATCATTGAGACATATTAAGTTGAAAAGCTTAGATGATAAGAAGAAAAACATATTATATAATATATACCTTTTCATCGGTGGGGAAGCCGCTATAGATTTTCAATTATGTAAAAAAATTCTGTTGCATGGACATACTCGAGCGCGTCCGATATTGATAGCATCCATGTCCTACGTATTTTTAATAATGTTGGTATGTTAATTTGATCGTTTGCATGATGTGGGTGGTTGTACGTAAGGGTTAAAAGTGAAAAGAAAAAAAATTCAATCGAGTGCGACAGATTTTCTAAGGGGGTGTTAAGTGCAACAAAAAAAAGCTCTCATTCAATAATCTGACGATTTCGATCTGACGCAAACTCGCGGCCATCATTATAATGTGCAAAAAAAATTCGCAATTTTGAAGTACTCAAGGGCGTCAGATTAAGATATATATGGTTCATCTTTATGTTTTAGACGGAAGACTCATAATCTTACGATTATCTAGAGGAATCCGCTTAATCTGACAAAAACAATATTTAAAAAAAAAATTAAAATTCATTGAACTTAATTCATTGAAAAGCTCAGGAAGTAGCATGCAAATAAATAAGTGTATGTTTTTTAAGTAGAATACTTGTATTTATAAGAAAATAAATTTAAAAAAATGCTCAAAAAAATTCAATTTTTTATAATCAATTGATTAATTAATGAAGAAAAGATAAATGAAACTTGTTTTTTACCACTTTTATTTGTAACTAACGTAACTGCAGTTTCCTCCTATAAGGACATTTTTGAACTAATATATTGTATAAGGACATTTAAACTTATATTACAAATGAAAGTGGTAAAAAACATAGAAAGTTTAATTTCTCTTCTCTTCATCATCATTTCCTACGACGTAGTAACGGCTACATCCATCAATTAATTGATTAATTAATAATCATCTTCATCACGAACGAGTCTCTGTGATCAGCTGTGATGGCGTCATGGCACCCTATTATAAGAAAACAAGTTCAATAATGGTCAAATCCAGTTGGCCATTCATTAGAATGTTTGAATTTTTAAGTTTATCAATTTCCATTGCTTCCAAACCTTCATTTTCTCTGTGAAAAATTTCGAACTCTTCCTATTTATCTAAGACCAAGTTACTACTGTGCCTGTTTCTTTTAAAAATCTATTATCGAATGATGAAAATATTTGTTTCAGCAAACATCCTGGGATTTCGATATATTCAGTATATTATGTTGTTCACTATTCTGAATATTGCTTATGGGATTCGATCCATTCTCAGTGTTGCAGTTTTTGCGATGACCGAAAGTGATCCACCAAATAAGAATATACCAGTAAGTACCTGCCTTTTACCATTACTTTTTCGATTTGAGATAAAAGTTAAAAACATCTGCATTGAATGAAAGAAGCTCAATACTTAATAATGATAATAATGTTTGTTAGCATATTATTAAATGAACATTTGTGAAAAACTGAGGTGAATCATCCACATACAGAGCAAAGACGAGTGGTCCCAAAATCGATCCCTGTGGCATACCCAATCGAACTGCATATGAATTTGATTTCACATCACTACATCTCAGTTTGATTTTCGAAAATTTCGAGTAATGTCACTTAAATGGCTATAGTCTATAGTATTAAATCAAACAGAAGCGAGGATAGTATTTATTCTTATCGAGAAGATAGTGAATATGATTGGGCAGATGACATGTTACTATTCAGGAGAGAAATTTGTCGATGACTATCAATATTTTCCTCATCACTTATTTTTAGTAGGAATCACAATTGCTGCCTTGAACTGATCGCAAAACAGTTTCAATGGGGTTCTTGGTTGTTCAGATATGCAAAGAGTTTCGTTATGATTTTTATTATGATTTAAAACATGAAGATAAACATTTGAAAAGTAAAAGGCGACTGGTTGGACTGACTGACATTTAATATTTTTGATTTGCGAAGAACAAGAACTCAAAGTCGTCTCCACAATTTATTATCACCCTCAGATGTTAGAACGGTAAAACCATCAATCAGTATTAATTAACAATATGTACTAAAGATAAAGTACCAATCTCCCATAAATCAGGAGTTTCGTGTTCGCAATCGAATTGTTCCGCTCAGTATGTCGGATAAAGTGGTAGGAAAATTGAAACAAGAGTTCTTGAACATGTTAAACTAATTAACAATTTCAGAAATTTACACTTAGATGATTATAACACTAAAAGTTCGTTCTCTAATCACATTCCTAATTACAACTATAGTTTTCACTCCACTTGATTTACTTGAAATTTTTGAAATCAACTCTGCTATTAATAACCCTAATGTTATATCTCTCAATGAACAAATACAGTTTGATTGCCAACAGTTTTTCAATTCTCTTAATTTTAACTAAATTTTCCCTGCCTGTATCTTCCTTAAACCCTTATTTTTTTAACAAGGTGGCATTCATAGATGATATGAGATCTGTTTGCTCAGAACACGAGTCGATATGTATGCGGTGGTCCCTTTCTGTTCTGTTCAGTTCTGTTGTGTGTTTGCAAATCTTTTGTCATTGTTCCACGTCATCTCAATTTTTATCTGTTTAAATCTGTTAATCTGTTTAAATATGTTTTTCCGTTAATCAGCTGTCGCCCCTATACGAACGACAACTCTCAGAAGTTGAGAAACTTGTGCGAGCTAAGGACTAACGAGGTCTTACCTTTTAACGTGTGATTTCTAACACATTCGATGATATCTTTAACTTGGTGGAGCACAGAAAATCGATCAGCACTTCAAATGTAATTCAGGGCATGCTTGTTCTTTCATGAGAAGTTTCCACAATTGTGCTGTAAAACTTTTGAAAAGAAAATTTATTCAATAATTTGTAACGTGAACAGTAATTCCGTGGAAAATATCGTTCAAGCACAATATTTTTATAATAAAAATAAAAAACTCCCACTGTAATCATTTTGGCTAAGTTACATGAAATCGGCATACACTGTATTTTAAGCTTGCTAATAAAAATAAAATCATTAAGATAGCAGCTAAATCGGTTTATCATTGGATATAATTAGGTCTACAGCAGTGATTACTTTTTCTGGATTAATCTGGATCATGTAATAAAATATTGAGGTTCAATAGGTTATAGTGTGAAAAACATATGCGATCCAAAACTGTTCCACCTAGATAAAGAGCCCAATAGCGTCATACGCTGTCTGTTAAAAAAATAAGATGATTTCTCGTTTTTCTCAGAAAATATTTGTTTATTCGTTAATTTATTTTTTGTCCCCTTCGAAGTAGTGCAAGCTTTTTTTCAATCCTCAAAGCAGTTCTGATATAAATGCGCTTTCTGGTATCTGCTTAAGCTCTCTCAGAGAATAGGTTTTCTCCAGTGGCGATTCTAAAACTTAAGGGCGGGGGAGCACACCATAACAAGGCGCCAAGATTCAGTAAAAAGGTACAGATATTCGAAGTAATACTGTATTTCCCATTAAGAAAAGAAAAGATATCACAAAACTCTAATAAAAGAAACATTTCAATAATAAACAATGCGCACTATCAAAAAGCCAGCATACAAAACAAAACATTTTATTACCTCTTAGAGAGTAAAGTAACCATTCACGTACGCTGTACTGTCTAAAAGTCGTTTTTTTTTAAGTTTGTACCAAGAAATGTAAAATTTCCTGTAATTGTAAACTGGAAAGTCTTGGAAGTTATCTGATAACCCAGGTTGTCAAGGTCCTTTTAGAATTAGTTGACAAGACAGAATGGTCTTATTCTTGAGTACTATCACTATCCAAATCCGAAATGAAATCTACTTCTGTAAATGTTAAATCAGCAAAACCTAATGAAAAATCGGATTTTGTTCTTAATTTATAGTATGATGTAGATGGAACATCAAGAAACGTTGACTCCGTACTGACCGTACTCTTCGTAGTGTCAGGTTTATTTGAAACCGATTCCTCTACACAACTTTGAGTTTGAATTATTTGTTCTTTTGTTTCTCTTTAAATGTAAAAGTTTCCATAATGAATACGATTTCGGATCTTCAACTGAAAATCAATAACTTGCGAATTGAAAGTTTTACAAAAATTTCATTTTGTTTGAGAATGTGACGTAGCAGCATATTTTAACTTCTTCTCTTCGCGTAACTTTCGATAATCTGCTCGACAAACTGTTTATTCGTCAAAGTAACAATAACAAATCTCTTAGAAAATGATCACATTCGCATTAGACAGCGAGTGATATGGGATTCACAACTGATCGAGGTCGAGGTATTGAAAGCGAATGTTTTCCACGTTTATTGGTTTTTCGTTTTATGTACCTAACAATAGATTTGTGAAATATTTAAAATCGGAAGGGCGCTAAGAACAACATCTTGCAAAGGGCGGGGGGGGGGGGATACTGCCCGCCGGTGGCGCCGCCAATGGTTTTCTCTACTCAAATGTCGCAAAACGACGTCATTCCATGGGTTTCTTCAATATTGGTAACAGGAAAAAGTCTCAGGGGGCAAATCTGGTGAATATGGTAGCTAGGCATGATTGCGGTGTTGTTTTTGGAAAAAAATTACGAACGATAAATGATGAGTGTGCAGGTGCATTATTGTGATGCACAAATCATTAATTGTTTTCCTACAATACCGGACGTTTTCTTCGTATTGCTTGCGAGAGCGACGCATAACTTAAAGATAATACCCCTTATTGACCGTACGACCATGTGGCAAGAACCTCTGATGCACTACGCGACGGTAATCATCTAAAGGAACAATTTGATGCCCACAAGTATATGTGAAGTTTTTTTTCTTATACGAGGAACTGGGTAAATTTTGGATATGCGGTTGGTTACCTCGTTCACAGGCAAATGGGGCGATGATAAATCTGTTGTTTGTGGTCCGCTTCAGCCTAGTTCGCGGAATGATACTCCGAAGGAATTCGATTTTCAATTATCGGAAATCATCGACTTTATGTTGATGATATACTTTACCTTGCACTGACGAGTGGCCAAACAGTGGCCATGATTGATGAGTGGCAATGATTGAAAATCTATTGCGGCAATTGTATCGCCAACAGCATATGCAGAATAACTGCACTGACACATATTGAATATAATCCAACGCCCTTCGTGGTATTAGCCAGGGGAGTAGTTGTTTTCTGATAAGTGTCAGCCCATTAACCGACAGTGCAGGTATTTGAAACTGGCCTGAACAAATTGGTCCTTTAGATGATTTGATTTATAGCCAGTCTTCAAGTATGTCCACTGACTATACGTGACTAATAGGGAATGTTCCTCCTGACGAAAATCAAGTAGTTTTCATAAAAGAGCTCTAAAACAACGCATTTTAAACTTATCATTCCAACCTTTTTCTTCAAAAAATTATTTAAATATTTAAAAAAGAGGAATGGAATAATGCATTCAACATTTAAAGGGATTCGTTTCTATTTCACCATTTGGCAACATCGGTTATAGCTAATAAAACAATGAATCTGTTACCTGTCTGAGACAAACAAAGATGACATATTTCAGAGGCGTGCTGTTCTGTTTACTTATGTTCCGAGTTCCGAGACATTCTGTGACATATGACATTTTGTGCATCTAACCTATCTTCCTCTATATAAATAAATAACAAAACAACTGTTGTTTATGTGGCTTGTGGAGGTGCTGTAATAACCCAAGTTGAGGAACATTCCCCATTCAGTTGTCTATAATTTGGGTTTGCAAGATGTAAAACAACTTCACCCGGAAATTTGCATTATTAGCGTCATACTAAGGGACAACTTAACAATAATAAAACATTTCACTAATAGAATGAAGAATATAGCTGATTACTTCTAAGGATTTTATTTGTTACGATCGGTTTCGCTTTGTTAAACAGTTTTCTAGTGAACTTGAACGAATAAAAACCTTGGTAGTAATCAGGCAAAAGCTATTTTCTTTATTCTATATTCAATATAATAGCAAAATCAATACTACTGACCGCTCTGGAATGATTCCATATAGTCCATCTCGTCTTGTGTTTGTGAATCTTTTGCTGGAAAAATCCTCACTTGTTTACTTTGTAGTAAGTGTTCAAGAGGTAGCGAAAACTTATGTGAATTTCTGGAACTTCAACTAGCGTTTCCTAATATGACTAATAACCAGTCCGTGCAAAGGTTATTGTTAAATCATCTGAAAATGGAATTTTTATAGAGTTTATTCTATGATTTTCACTATAAGGGTTTCACAAAAACCGCGACACGTGTTTCGCTATACAATAGCTTCTTCAAGCATAACTAAGAGTTACTTCTAAATTACAACCTTATATACTATAACCTAGTACCTATTCGTCTATCTAAGTAATAAATCTACCTGAAAAAATATACCTGAAAAAGGCAGGTATCAATACATTTTTCGAAAATCTATCAGCAAATATACCTAACTATTATTACCTGCAGATTCAATAATGGCGAATTATTCAAGTCCGTTTGATCGTGAGAGCTTTTGAATTTGATTATTTCCATACACTCCAACAGGTTAAGTTTCAAACCTTTCTTCTGGAAATGGAGAGGTTCGTATTCATGGTTGAACTCATGTCCCTCTGAGATTAGATGACTGGCATATGTGGAATTTACTTTTCCGTTACGATAAATTGAAAAATCATGTTTGTTGTTAACTTTTGCTATTGTCAAATCCAGAAAATGTACAGATTCGTCCTGTTCCATCTCCACTGTGAATGTGATAGATGGGTGAAGAGAATTTATGAACTTCAAACTTATGGACGATTTGGAGAGAAGAATACACAGTAACCCACTGGTAAGAAGTTTTCTGTATTGGTATAGATATGTGGATGATATTCTGGTATGTTTCACGGGAACGAACAGACAGTTGACAAATTTTTTGAAGTTCATAAATTCTCTTCACCCATCTATCACGGTCAAATCCCGCATAAAGGAACACAAATATAGTTTTCAGAACGGAAAAGTAAATTCCACATATGCCAGTCATCTAATCTCAGAGGGACATGAGTTCAACCATGGATACGAACCTCTCCATTTCCAGAAGAAAGGTTTGAAACTTAACCTGTTGGAGAGTATGGAAATAAACAAATTCAAAAGCTCTCACGATCAAACGGACTTGAATAATTCGCCATTAATGAATCTGTTCATACGCAGGTAATAATAGTTAGGTATATTTACAGGTAGACTTTCGAAAAATGTATTGATACCTGACTTTTTCAGGTATATTTTTTCAGGTAGATTTCAATCTAGTAGATCACTAGTATAATATTCATGCAGTTATTGTTCACTGTGGTTCTGGCGTTGAATTTGGTTATTATTACGCCTTGGTCAAAGACGAAACGGACTGGTTTGAGTTTGACGATAGTCGTGTCACGAAGTGTTCTGGCGATGTATTGAATCTATTGGAGCCTTTGAAGACACCCTACATTTTGTTTTATAAGAGAGAGAGAGAGGACATTGGCAGATCAAGATCTGTAGTGCAGATGATGTAGTGCTGCAGGTTTTTTCGGGTTTTCCTGCAGCTGAAAAAGCAAATGCGCCAGTGGAATCAATGAAGTCGTCCCGGAGCGCCAATTAATTTTTATTGTTGTTTTTATTTTTATCGTTGTTTTATAATTTCACAATGTTTGTATGAATTCATACACAGTAAATACGTCACCAATCGAACATTTTTATCACTGTTCAAAAAGTTAGCACCCCTTTGAAATTATTCTTCTGAGTGAGCCTTTTAAAAATGGACTATGATACCCGAAACCTGTTTCTTCATAATCACTTGGGAAGCATATCTGCGAGAAAGTTCCACAAACTTATGTGGTGGGAAGTCAGGAAAGTACTTGTTTTTGATCCTACTACGTAGAGATGTTGGGAGACTTGAACGTTTCCAATTACAATTCGAAATCTCTCTCATGTATCTCACGGTCATCGACTTGTTTTGATTTCTGTTTTGTGTTTAGAGATAACCCATTGCCTCCCAATAATTAATTTTATATATTTAATCAAGGTCCCTGTTATAAACATTTATGTCTTTTGGGGTCAATAAACAATGATATGATATATGAGCCTGAAAGGTAGAACTTAATACCCAGCATAAAATCGTAAAAAATCGAACATGAACATTCACCTTACATTAGAACTGGAGCATTCTTCTCGACGCGTGTTTACGAGCCAAATTGGCCACATCAGATGTTTATTTTTCAGATGTTTATTTTTTCTTCGAAGAAGTACTGTGACCGTCACATCACATTGAAACCTTTATTTTCAGACATATCCAGAATGGTCCAAAAAGAAAAACTTGATGTTATCTTCATTCTTCTGGGGATATATTTGTTTACAAGTTATAGCTGGTCAACTGGCGAAAAACTACGGACCTAAACGATTTATGAGTGCCTCGGCTTTCATAGGATCTGTATTTTGCATGCTGATTCCAATTTTCGGAGCCTATTTAGGATATTCGGGAGTCATCGTTTGTAGAATAATCACTGGTCTCTCACAAGGCTTCATTTTTCCTTGTGTACACAACCTCCTTAGCGCAGGACGGGGAAGAGACTAGATCAACAGTCAGCAACAGGCGGACCGCGGTCCACAAACGGACCGCGAAAGGTCGGACCTCGGACCGCCAATTTATACTTGTATACCAAGTATAAATTAATACGTAGATAAGGTATACTATATATTTATAATTTTTTCGAGTCACATATAATTCAACTTAGTACTTATTTTACTTCAATAAGTTGCCTAGTTAACCTGTTTTACAAGTACAGCAGAATTGACAGATGTGGCTGCCAAGTTGTTAAATCTGTCAAAAGCATCACTTCGAATAGAGATAATTGATTCGCGAGAAGATGTGTCTTTACGAATGTATAAAACGGTATCCACTGAAGAATTTTGTGCCAAACATGAAAGTTGTAAGAAACTAGCTATAAATTTGACCACTATATTTGGCTCAACATACGTTTGTGAAATATCTTTGAATTGAATTTTTTGAAAGACATATATCGTTCGAGATAGAAAACACACTTGAATGCTGTCGTCCAACCCGTGTTAGGAATAACACGTTAAAAGGTAAGGCCTCGTTAGTCCTTAGCTCGTACAAGTTTCGACTTCTGAGGGTTGTCGTTCGTAAGGGTGTGATAGCTGGTTAACGAAAAAGACATGGCTTCCTCAGGCGAGTTCATAATAATTCAGAATTTGATTTGAAATCAAAATAATACATAGGTAGCACCTACTTATTATCCGTTGTTTTTCTGGAGCTCGTTAAAATTTTCCCACAGTATCCGGACCCCACCCAAAACTATTTGCTGACCCCTGGACTAGACAGTTACGTAAGTCTGAAGTGTCTTTATAAGTCTTTAATTGTATAAGATCGAAACTCTCAGGGTAGTTGATTATGATGTTTGGGTGCAGTACCAGTAAACGAGAAGTAGCGGGTGAAGCTTCTTCAGTAAATAATCAGGTTGACGAGATGTCAGAACTTCATGTGTGTTGGTGAATAGATGCATTGCTTTATGTTTCTCAACTTTCACATCTTGATTCTCGCATGGCCGAGGATATATGGTCATCATTTCGGATATCAAACGAAAAACGAGGAACAGTTATTCTGTATACGGTGTAGTCGAAGAGCATCCGATTTTTTCAAAGCGGGTCCATAAATGAGAAATTTATGACATTATCAATGGCACGCATAGTCCGAATTTCAAGTTTCTGTTGAGCAAAACACGATTTGGAAACAGCTGCCTGGGGACGTTATAAGAAGTTTGGTTCGGATAAATGACATATTTAGTGAAGCGAAGTTCTGGATTAAACCACAATCCCAATTTTTGTATTTCGGTCATGGAGGGAAGTATTTAATTTTTGATGCGGACTTGGAAAAGTGGAGTTGGTGAGTTCTCTGTTCTTCACTACATACAGGAAAATCTTTGAGGCGCTCCAAGAGCGGTGCCTATGCGAAAGTAGTGATTCACGTTGGATTTGAAGGGCTGGAGATTGAATTCATTTGGAAAAACGTTATCAAGAAGTTCATTCTACATAAACGCAGTTCTCCAAATGAAAAAGTTCTTAATCAGTGAAGTTCAAGGTGTACTGAGTTGAACCTCTAAATGCTGAGCAGCCACAGTTCGGCGCGTATTTCCGATATGTACCGATATGTACCGCTCTTGGTGGAATCAGATGTGTCAAGTCACTTGAACACCTCCCGTCAAAGTATTTATGAAAGAGAGACGAATCTACAACATTACTTCGATGTTCCAGACTATCAAGGTCACAAGTAATGTTCGCGTCTCCAATTAGGCGCATGGCTCTTTTCTGGATGGAATCCAGCAGCTTCGGGGTATGCTTAGGGATGGAGCTTCATACATGAGAACAATACGCCAAAGAAGCTCTGATCTAAGCTTTGTAAACCATCAAAAAGTGCTGAGGTGTGTACAGTTTTCTGGTTCGGAATAGTGTTCCAAGCTTTTGAGAAGCAGCCTTCGCAATTCCAGCGACATGATTGTGCCGATATCCAAATGGAATGACAAGACAACTGTGCTGTCGTCAGAAGAGCAATATATTGGATTCCTGTGGATAAGTAGGTGGATATACAATAAAAAGAGGGTTGGAGACAATATGGATCCCAGGAACACCAGCGTTGATGGTGAAAGTATTCGAGATATATCCATCGACGGCCACTTGTAAGGAATGTTCTCTCAGGAATCTGGACAGCCATACACAAAAAGGATCCGACAAACCATATCATCGAAGTTTGTCCAGCGAACCCTCGTGCTACACACGGTCAAAGGCCTTAGAAATATCAAGCGCTACAGCTCTTGACTCTCTAAGTTTTTTAGGCTCGAACATCATTATTGCAGATTTATTAGAAATGAGCTTGCCGTCTGCATAGTGATATATATTGCAGTTTTCACAAACAGGTTAAAATCACAGTTATACAAGATAAAAAGCAAGGGCTCAAGGATAGATCCTTGTGGCACTCCCTCCGATACCGGTAGCGCATCCGATAAAACTCCATCCGCAACAACTTTTTGATGACGATTTTTCAGATAGTTTCCTAAAAGTGTCACTGCTTTCCGAAAGAAATCAAAGTAGACAAGTTTGTCACGCAATAATTCATGATCAAGAGTGTACTAAACAGGTCAAATTCTCATCACCTGCGGCTTAAAAAAACATAGATAATTGACAGAAGAGCCGTGGTGGTCTGAATCCTGATTCCTGCATATGTTACGATATGACTTTCATTGACATAATTATTAATCTAATCATTCAGTATCAATTCCACTATTTTAGAGAGGCACGGGAGAATTGTAATTGGTCTCAGGTCAGAAAGGACTCTAGTGAATGAAACTTAGCCAGAGGGATAACCAATCGTTCCTTCCAAAATTTTGGAAATTGGCAAATGATAGAGTTCATGGGAAAGGTGAAGTGATTTATGAAACAAGAGTCAATGAGATTGCTTCTTTTGGGGGTTATCCCGTTTAAACCCAAAGCACAGTAAAAATCAACCAGTAAGTCCACTCCCACTACTTTCATTCATAAATTCATAAAGTTCTCGGTGGCCGCGAAACGGAGTGGGGGGCCAATTTCGTTCTTTTACCATAGGCGTGCGCTCATATAATAATGTCTTTTTTACATCTCTCATTTTCTAATCACTTAATAATAAAACAAACAACAATAACCAACTACAAAAACTGAAAACAATAATAACAACAGCGAATGAACTAAACACAATATATCAATTTCCGACCGTTTATTAAAACTAATCCGATGCCCGTGGGACCGTCGAACCCTTCGATACTACAGCACTGAATGCGTTGGATGAGAATCTCATGCTAAGAGGTTGAAGGTATTTACCTACTCAGAGCTCGGTTTTTGAGTAAAATCATTAGTTCATACACTCACAACTTGTAGTCAATCTTCTAATAATTTTGTTTCGTGATAATCGTCTCCACAACCGCGGCAAATATTTTCAGGTTTGTCTTCACTTTCGAACTACGCTGTCTGTTCAAAAAATAAGGTGAATTTATGGAACCAACCAGAGAGACAAATCTGGTAAATACAGTGACCGAGTCCGGTCGTACACGGACCACATATTTGCAGTTGAGGCAACCACAACATTGTGGCCAAGTTGACTGCACTTCGCGGTTGACCCAACCGTACTTGCAGTTGAGGCAACTGACATCAAAAATTGAATGTTATGAGACCAATATGTACGCGGTTGGTTACGACTGCAAGTTGGTGGTTAGTGTACGGCGGATGCCGCGATGACATCTCGGTGGAGATCAGCAGCAAGTTGACTGCAGAAGCCCGTTTTGACTTTTGTGAACGCCCGTGTACGTTCCGTACAGTATTCCTTATGGGCGGCTTGAGTTCGCTGGAACGCGACTGCAATTGTGTGGTCGTTCCGACCGCGAAATGTGGCTCGTGTACGGTCACTCTGAGGCATGATTACGGTGTTGTTTTTGGCCAAAAAAATTACGAACAGACCCATTATAGTAATGCAAAAGCCATTAATTGTTTGTCCACAGTAACGGGCGTTTATTTCGTATTGCTTCTCGCAAGCTGCGCATAACTTCAAAATAATACTCCTTATCGACCGTACGAATATGTGGCAAGAACTTCTGATGCACTACGATATGGTGATCGAAGAAAACAGTGAGCAAAACCTTAACATTTGACCGAATTTCGAAAACTTTTTTTGGTTTTGGCTCTACTGGGCTCTTCCATTGGGATTATTGGACTTTGGTTTCGATTTCATCACTATATACCATATGACTCGTCAATGCATGGTTATGACCCTTTCAAGCAAATCTGGATCGCTGTTGACGTCGTTCAACAATTCCTGAGCGATGCTCATGCGATGTTTTCTTTTAGAACGAACTACGCTGCCAGACGTTAATTGCTCAAAATGCATGAGCCAACTGCATGGCATGAGCCAACTGACATACCGACATCCATAACAACACTATTCTGACTCAGAGTACAATCACCGTATGCCACTGTCAACATTTTAAGTGTTTTCAAGCATTCCATTCAATTTTTTACACATTTGATGCAAATTCTTTATGCCTCCCACCAACAAACTAAACCTGCTGAACAGCTGAAACCGTGAACATATGTTCGAGACAAGTGAACCAACATAAAAAAATCGATAATCGAATGTACGTAGCATGCAAAATTTGATGACTGGCCTTATTTTTTCAAAAGTCTACAATTATTCATATCATTATTGGAAGTGTTTTCAAATAATTATTTAGAATACTTCTTGTAATGAAATTTAATGATGTCACAAATGAGTTTTCGAAATATTCCTGATAGAAATCATGGAAAAAGTATAGTATTTTACTCTCAAGAAATGGTAATTCCTTCGTTTTAGGCTCGCATCGACAAATATCATTCTCACGAGCAATGACAACATTGAATTATATAGTATTATGGAACACTATTAGAGCCAAAATAGAAGCAATAAAAGTCTGTAGGTTGTTGAAGATTGAAATAGTACTTGTGCGGTCAACACATTTTCAATAACTAATACTTCAATTTATTGAAATAAAGGTGAGATTTTTTTAGAAACAGGAGGATAATGATCGAATTGATTATTATTGGAAGTACATTGTTGATTAAAAAATTGTAACAATGTAGCTACGTATTTAAAATCTGAAGTTGCTGGAAGCCCAAACCATACTATAGCCCGTATAACAGTTTCAAGACTATATTCTGGCAGACCATTGATATTTTTTGTGTCAAAAACAGATTTTCAGTATATCTTCGAATAAGGAATACTCAAACAAAATCACAATTTCGATTTTTTTATGAGCAGGTTACTCTGCCACAGTACAATAAACTCCCTCTTACTTCTCAGGTGGACCACTTGGTACTGTGATATCTTTACCAATAGCTGGATTGATATCAGATTCCTCTTTCGGGTGGCCTGTTGTTTTCTATGTGTACGGAGCTTTGGGAATGCTATGGTCAGTGGTTTATTTCTTTTTGGGGTCCAACTCTCCATCTCAGCATAAATCTATCTCAGCGGAAGAGAGAAAGTACATAGAACACGGAGTACCAAATGAGAATATGGAGGTGAGAAATTGTTTGAGGTTATTTTTATTTCAATTCAATGTTTTTCATCATTAATATTATACTCGTAATTCATTCTGGTACGAGAATACTTTGAAGTGCGTATCACTGTGTCGAATTCTCACAGTGGCAAAATTTTCTCATGTAGAATTATCTTTACGGCGTTATCGTTATGCCCTCAATGTAAGACTCAGATAGAAACATGAGATTTTGCAAATCTCACACCCAATCGATTAATCGATATTTCGACATAGTGGGAATTTGACGTGAGTCGAATGTAATTAGTGTAGTGAGTATACGATGTTAGATGAATAATTCACCTAGGATCAATAAGTAGGTATCACTACGTCGAATTCCCGATACGTCGAAAATATTCAAATGAGTCTGGTGGAAATTTGAGAAAGCTATAAACATGAAATGGATGAAATCTAGGATGGTGAAATAGATATTCGTTAACTTGGATCTGTCATTGGATTTCGTTCTTCAATTTGGTTCAAGCTATATGTAAATGGAATTGCAAATACAAATAATACAATATCAGGTAACTTAGGTTAGGTCACAAATTAGTGGGTCTATTTGACCCTACACCACAACCCGCAAGGGTTTGTTGTGGTTTACACTTATTCACACTCGGCCAAATAAACCCAGCTTCTCAACGAAGCCGATTAGTTTGTATAGTGAGTGGTCTTTCAGGTCACATGGGAATAGTGCGGCTCTGCCAAACTCTGAAAACCTGATTCGGTCCCCAGTGGGGCAGGTACAAAATATGTGCTCTGCTGTTTCCTCATTTTACAAACAGAGACGACACACACTGTCTTCCGACGGGCCGAGTCCCTGTATATAATAATTCAAATGAGTGATATGTGAGAAGGCCTGTTAGACAACGTAGTTCATCCCTACTGTAGTCCAACAACTTTTTGGTATCAAGCTTCGAAGGGTGAATAGACGCCTTGGAGAGGCAGAGACAATCTGTTAAATCTTCCTATCTAAGGGAGTTGTTTTTGACAATTTGCTACCAATCTCCCGGAGGATCCACTTTACGTAACTTCACTTTGAGCTATCAACCTATCGAAAATTAGGAAAAAATGGTGCTTCAAAATAATCTATTACTTATACTTCTTGAGTATCGCAACGAGTCCGATTACTTATTCAAAGTTGCCTCATTATTTTTTAAATCAATGACAAATAATCCTTCTGATCAATTAGTTTTTTGATGACGTATATGGAGTTCGGAGTTGAATTCACAATAACGACAATTCGAACTCAGTAACACCATTTGCAATTGGGAAATCACTCTGCATTCTTCTTTTCCCCTCACTTCAAATTCCCGCTATGTCGAATTGTCGTACGGCGAAATCTCGCCATGTGAAATTCATTTCAGCTTCGATAATGTTCGTATTTTGGTAAAGTCAATGGAAGGGATATATTTCGATGAGTGAACACAATGGAGGGGGTAAGAATTCGACGCAAGAGGAATTCGACGTAAGAGTATACAGTATAGAGGTATCCAGTGGAAATGTGTCTAGTCTGTAAATTCAATTCATTTTTTGTCAATCCATTAATGAAATCGTACTTAACTTTGAGGGTGCAATTAAAAAAATTACTGAATTTGTTCAGTTCAATCAAACTTCATTGAATGAGTATTATCTATGGTACATACTTTTGAAATTTTATTTTATTTCAGATTTTGACCATTCATACTAGTATGTATATTAGGCCAGTCATTTTAGGGGGTTTGCCTAGGAAAGTGGACATACCCAGCTGTAAAAACTTTGTATTTTAGCATCATAAAAGTATTCTCAAAATACACATATGATTCGACGGTCGCAACTTCAAAAATTGGGGGTCAAAAGTCAAAAAAACCGACTTTTTGCACGTTTTTTGCCAATATCTCGTTTCCAATACTTTCAGTTCGAATCGGAGAATGTATTTTTTGTATAATTCAATGTTCACATTATTTTTTTCCAGTTTGTGCCTGAAAGTTATACCATCGTCCATATGGACGATGGTTATACTTCTGGTCCCACCCGGTATCGCTACGGCTAAGGCAGCGTGAAATTTCTTTCGTGCTAATGTTTCGTTGCTGTGCCGCTTGCCGCTGTTCAGAAAAAATGCATGATGGCCCTCCTAGAGTCAAAATACTCCGCAGGTAGAATAGCTCCCCAATCGGATCTCCGGATGGGAGCTAATTCAACAGCATCATCCTGCACAAGTTATTGGAAAACCACTATTTCTGACACAGTCACCAGGGTCTTTGTAACCTCAGTCCACAGGAAAATAGTATGGTAACTGCAATTGTTAAGAGGCCCACTAGCAGCTTCAAAATTGATTTCTGCAACATCAGAGGACTGAACTCAAATATAAACTCAGTGCACCAACATCTGCAAACAAATAGTCCTCATATTCTTGCACTCACAGAAACCAAAGTCAGTGCTTCAACAAACCCCATCGCTTCATCAGAAGCGATCTCTCCTGTCAACGAGGGAAAATACTGGAATCCCGAAACTTTATCGCTATCGACCACCTAGCGATACACACATTGACTTTCTGCAAATCAATCATAGTAGTGCCAAATTTTCATATTCGGTGACTTCAATGTCAATATAGGATGGCTCAAATTTTCAAATATTATTGACGAACAAGGTTGCGAAGCTGGGGCTTTTGCAATAAGCACCGGACTTACTCAGATTATAAATGAGCCCACTAGGATTCCTGACCGTGATGGAGAATATGCTAGTTTTCTTGATCTAGATCCAGAGAAACATGGAGGGTCAAGAGCTTGATAGTTCTAAGGCTTTTGACCATGCGTGGCATGAGGGTTTGCTCAATGAGGATCCAGAAGCAATTTCGAATTGGGATGAAAATAACCAGGTTCAATTCAATGCCACAAAAACCCAGGCATCGGTTTTATTAAAAAAGATAAATGTTTCCGAACCGGATATAATAATATCAGGACAAACAATAATTTTCTGTCCGCTTTGTGCTTCGATAAGTTTGTTGTGGGTTAAATTGGACACAATCATGTCGCTGGAATTGCAGAGGCTGCTACTCAAAAGCTTAGAACATTGTTCCAAGCGGAAAATTGTACACTCCTCAGCAACTTTTGATACTTTATAGAGCTCAGATTAGACCTCCTTTGGAGTATTATTCTCATGTATGGAGCTCCGCCCCTATATATACTCTGAAGCTGCTGGATTCCATCCAGAAAAGAGCCATCCGCCTGATTGGAGACGCGAACATCACTTGCAACCTTGATAGTCTGGAACATCGAAGAAAGGTTGAAGATTTATCTTTCTTCTATAGATACTTTCACAGGAAGTGTTCAAGTGACTTGGCACATTTGATTCCACCAANCTATCCACTCGTTTCACGAAGAGTTCAAAATCCAACAAAGTAATAGTTAAGGGAAAAAAATTTAGGTAATTAATGAAAAGAATCATTGGGAGGTTGCAAAACCTTCAATTTTCTAGTAGACCACTCAAATAATTGATTATTAGAACTAATTAAGAAAATAGGGGGTTGGGTTTTGTCAATATTTTTCGAAATGTTCTTCCTTCTTCAATGACAGATGACAGAAGGCCAAGAAACTAAAAACATCGAAGAAGAAGAATTGATTCTTTTTTATCAAATTATAGAAAATACCTCCTAGAAGACATGTTTAATTTCCAGTTTTCTACTTTTCTAATGGTTCACCTGAATTTGAAAAGCTTCTTCCCTTTTTTAGGGTGCAGTATCATTTCAAAAGACGTCATAATGCATCCAGGTTCATATTCAAAATATGTTGGAGGTAAAACGTCTAAATGGTATACGTCATAGTACCAAACCTTAGTAAAATCCTAGTAATAATCTCCAACAAACTGAAATGAAAAATGACATTTGCAGTTTTTCATGTTTTTCTCGATATCTCCATTGTCGCATCTGAGAATTCTGATTTATTGCCACCACTAAGAAACATCACACCATATTACCGGCCTTGTATCATTGTTTAGAAACGACCTTTCTAAAAATTGACCTCTTCGTATAACTGACCTATTCCATTCCTCATTAGTTGAAAAAAAAATCCGTGCTGGGAATCGCACGTTAAAATGTAAGACCTCGTTAATTCTTAGATTTTTATTACATTCACATATTTTTCAGGACTGTTCGTGCCAGCACTGACACTGATTTCTCTGACGTTCGTAGAGCAGTCACATTACATTCTTGCAGTTGTACTATTGACATGCGGAGTGGGATTCAATTCGGCAGTTTACTCCGGTTACAACGTGAACCACATTGATTTATCTCCAATACACGCCGGTACTCTTATGGGCATTACCAACACCGTGTCCAACATATTTTCTTTAATAAGCCCTCTTGTCGTGGACGTAGTTATTTTCTTCAGTGGGTTTGAAGAAGTAAGTTGACCGTTTCATTTGAGTGTAGTTTGCTATATTTCCTTACATGGACGATTGGAAAAGTTGTATTCATCACTACATAGTACAAAACAAAGTCGCTGTCTATCTCTATAGTCTAGTTCAAATGTACCATTTTCTTCCGAAAATTACGATCAAGAAGTCATTCGATTCGTATTGTTATGTAGAAAGTTTAAGGAAAAGTTCGAAAAGGCGCTGAAAAAATTACAGAAGTCATAAACAAATTAGTAAAAAATGAGGTTTGTTTTTTTTTGAAATCCAGTGTCAACCAACAGTCTGTTACACTCTGCATTGATTTGATTTGTGCAATTGGCAATGTGCACAAGTCTATATGCAGTCCATCTAGCCTCTCCCTTCAGAAAAATGTGGAGAGAAGGCAGCTCTAGAAGGATCTACATGGCTGCTGACGGCGTGGTACTGGTGGCACCACTGATGGCCAGACAAGCCTGTCTCTGTAAGTCAGAGAGCTTCGCCTGGGCCGTTTTCTGTAAATCCTTCGGCCACCAGGCAATTGCACCATAAATGATCATTGGTATGACAATCATCACATAAATCCAATGGATTTGTTTGGAACGTAAACCCCAAGTTTTA